CCTGCTACTCTGTTTGGAAATCTTAGTTCTCTATGATCTCTCATGTGTATTTCAACATCAATTGGATTGGCCATATTAAGTATTCTTAATAACCATATAGGAAAATCATTCTCTATAGCATAAATATCATTCTCGTTTTCAATATCATTTTCAAGTACTTCAATTAAGGGTTGCAAATCTTCCAAATCATTTAATTCCGCAGCTATCATATTATTACCTTCACCATCTCTATTATTATTTGCAAGATCACCGTTTTCAACTTCAATCACTTCGAGCATTCCGACTTCTGGTACTTCTGCTATACTTGGCGATTCGGATTCGGATATATGATCTTGCGCAATACTTGGTAAATCATATTCTGGTGTCATATCTTGAGCAGAAGCGGAATTTGGATATCCGGAATCTATTATTTCAGGAGACCAACTTTTTGGAGGTGTTTCTACAATTTCTGGAGAAGAAGATTTTAATTCAATGCTTTCTATTACTTCCACGATATTTGGATTTATATTCTTATATTTTGATTCAAGATTTTCTATGTTACATTCAGATCGTTCTTCACTTTTTAATACTGTAAATTGAATGTTTTTTTCATCTTCAATATGAAGACTAGATACTAAAGGAATATTTTCTAAATTAGTAATATCTTTGGCATGATTAGAAGATACTTCAGTATTATTTACATTTTTAATATTTTTTAAGTCATGATTATTATCTAATTCATCATTGTTATAAATATCTATTTGCGACTCAGATTTAATCATTAATTGATTTTTTAATGAAAATTGTGTATCACAATTTATTGATTGTATGTTATTTATATTTAGTATAGGAAGCTCTTTTTGTTCTTTTGCTATATTTTCTGTAATACAAGAATCTGGCCACTTATTTTGATCAAGTACTATAGAATTTACTGATGCAGTTGTCCTTTTTTTACTATTGTTACTATTCATAAAATTTGCTTCAAGCAATTCTTCTGCCATTTGTATATCATTATTTAATGTAGAAGCTATTGTCATTGCATTACTGTCAATAAATATATTTTGATTAGAATTATTTGTTGACTGGTTTTCATTTTTTATTTTCACATCAATTGGATACATAGATGTATCTTCATTATAGTTTTCTTTTATTGCATTTGAATAACTATCTGACATAGTAAATATATTTATATTTTTATTACTTTGTGAAAGTATCTTATTATTCTCTGATAAATTATTACTGCTATCATTAATTAATTGAGATTTCTGTGTGATATTTGAACTAGAATCATTTTTTTGTTCATCATAATCAAGAGATATTCGCTTTTTTCTCGTGTTATTCATTTTAATTTCAATTTTTGGTGAACTTGTAAATTGTGGTCGATTTTCTATTAAAACATTATTAGTAACGACTATATTATCTGATTCATCTTCTATTTTAGAATTACTTCTTGAGATCTTACTATTCTGTCTGTCATTTTGCACTTTACTTTGGTTAAAACAATTTGTACTTGTATTTGTGTTATTATCTAAGTATTCAATATCAGAATCTTTATTTTCTTTATATGATATATTTAAATATTTATTATGCAAATGATCATCAAAATTATATTCTAATGATTTATTATGTTTGGTATCATTTGTGTCTGTAATTGCGTCTATTGATACATTTACTTGTTCAAAAGAATTATTTAACATCCAATGATTACTCATACTTTGATTACACATACTATCATTTTTTAAATCCTGGTCCATTTTGATAGCGTGTAAAAGATATGGTTCGGGTGAAGTAGATGCTCGCGAAACGGACATATATACCGGAATATCTAATGTACGATTGAGTTTTTGTGCTGTACTTGACGTGGGATCATTCTGTGCGTCTGATACTATATAAAAAAATGAATCTTCTTTCACATCTTCAAATTTTCTTGTTAAAGAATTAGGATTCAATTCTGTTGATTCATTTAAATGTAATGGACTGGTATTATAAAACGAGTTGTTAAAATTATCTATATTAGATAATGGATTTAAATTTTCTTCATCATTAATTTCATTATCTCTTTCAAAAATTTCGGTATTTCTTATCGTTTCAGATTCGTTATTTAATAAAACATTTTCTTCATCAAAGAGATAGGTATTGTTATTAGGAATAGAATTATTTTGTGGAATAATAATACTTTCCTCATTCCAATTTTCATTGTTCCATATATCTGAAGATTCTTGTCTCAAAAATCCATTACAATTTATAGGTGGTCCAGCTTCTCCAGGCCAATCTTCATCTGAATAAAGATCAGAATGGTCATTAAATTGCGCTATTTCACTTAATACTGCACTATCATCAGAAAATGTTGAAATTGGCGGTACTAATACAACTGGTCCAGATTCATGATTTTCAACTGTCCAACCACCATCCTCTAAAATTGTTTGCAATGTATTTGTAGAAATATGAAATGATTTTAACATATTTATTAATACATTTAATGGAACTTCTTCCTCCATATCTTCATTTTGATAAGATAGATATCTAATATAATATGCAGCTTCATCAAGAATTTTTTCCTCATCTGAACGATTATCTATTCGAAATGGATATTCATATTTAACTATAGTTTTAAATAAATTTTCAATACCAATATTACAAAATTCTTTTTCACTAATACGATGAAAAACAGCCATTTGAGTACAACATCCTAGATGTTCTGAACCTTCTGGACCTCTACAAATTCCATCAAATGTTACAGAATAGTCAGGATATCTTAAAACAATATTATCAGCCCTATTAATAAAAATATATGTTAATATATCATATTATATATTATACATTATATAATAAAACTAGATTACAATTAATTTACAATAATTAAAAAGAAAATGATATTTTTACCAATTTTGAAATTGTTCTCTAGTCCATTCGAATTTATGATCAGGATGTCTAAATCCAGAAAAATTTGGAAACAGTACATTAAAATCTGCATTTGGTGTTGTTATTACTGCCAATTTTGGTTTAATATATCCAAAAATATTATAAGGTACATCCAACAAAATATCTGAATGCAAATGTTCAATCCTGAAGTGTCAAAATATTTATTATCATCATGAAAATAATAAGACTTATCTATTAAAAACATTATATTTAAAAATAATTAACTATATTAAATAATAACCCACAATTCTATGCAGATCACAGCATCTGCATTTTCTAATTTCTTGTCATTGTGAGTAACACTACCCTCACATATTTCAACTACAAGAGGTGTAGTCCTTGTATGTAAATATTCAGATACTAAGGGAGCACCTTTCTCTTTATAAGCTTCTAAAAGTGATCTATCAACATCCACACATAATATTTCTTCTACACCAGCTCTATTTTTTAGGTAAACCAAAAAATCAAGTTCTGCACATCCAAAATCAACAATCTATAAACAAAAAGAAAGACTACAATCATTTTATCATTAGAAGATTAAAATTAATTTGATAAAAGATAATTTAATAATAAAATAAAACTAAATAAATTTATATAATAATTATGAAATATAATGATTATTTAGTAAAACATTTATAACTAATATAAACCGAATATATATTCTATAAAAAAAAAATCTGTGTCTATGATATAAAATAAAAAAGCACTGTACCTTGCGTAATTTCCCTTGATATTTATCAATTACATCAGCTACAGCAATGTATCTTTGTAAATATGCTGGTGGAAAAAATTTGATAGATTTCTCTTCAAAATCCTGAGGTGCAGATGAATTTATCATTTTATAATTTCTTTCAGAAATCTTGAATTGTATATCCGTGTTAATCGTATCATCGTTTATGGCTTTTTGTTTTTATTTCCGTAATTTTGATATACAAACTTGCTAAAAAAATAAAGAACGTGAAATAGTACAATGATCATGTCAATAACAAAAATCAACTTTATCACTATTAAATTTTATTAATACATCCCGGTTCACTTTCCGTTGTGCGTAATGTCAGCCATATTGTTTTGTTTTGAAGGTGGTTTATCTATTCTAAAGATAGATATTTGATTGGTTAGAATTATTTCAAAGGTAGCCAATACTGAAATAAAAAATATTCAGAATAAATTAAACTTTATTTTCAATTTATCATGGAGTTAAAAAAAAATATGAAACAAATATAAAATCATAAATTAATCATGAAAAAAAAATCAAAGTATTCTGTACTCATACAATTTAATATTATAATTATAAAAATTATTATTCAGTTTAATTTTCTAAGATAATAAAATCAGTTATGAAAAAATTCTTATTAAATTAAAAAGATTTTTAAAGTTACTTGTCTTTTATTTGTTTTTTATTTTGAAAGGAAAGGAATTTTTAAAAGGAATTTTTGTTCAAAATAATTGTAATTTCTTAACTTTCCTAATTTTCATTTTTTTTTTATATATTTTATTTAACATTAAAAAATGAAATTAATTGAATAAATTTGAAAAAAATATTGTATTATTTCTTTATTCCTTTTTCCTTTTTATTCGCGCGTATTTTAAAAATCAAATGCGCGTTTCGATTTCCGGTCGATGCGATTCTAACGGCATAAAAATGAAGCTTTTCATTATATATATATATATATCGCGGTAAATAAAAATGTTTGTATATTGATAACTTGTATATGATAACAAATAAATTTCAAATCAATATTATATTTTAGTTTTAATTATTCAATTATACTTTTTAATATTATTAATTTATAAATTTATTAATTTTATAAATAATTATTTTTAATATTAATAATTAAAAAAATAAAATTTTAAATTTCTCATAATTTCTTATAAAATTTATATAATATAGAATATAATATAATATATATAATCTTCTTTAAAATTTAAAAAGGAAAATGATTTACACATTAAATTGACATTATAATTTATTTAAGATTTAATAATTAATTAAAATAATGCGATAATTATTAATATTGGTAGCAGTTCACTAATTTTCTAAAAAAGCGATGGTATACACGTTACATCGTTTACATAAATTAAGATGACAGTCAACTTTCTTTATATACCATTTGTAACATTTGTATCAGTTTTGTATCCATAATTGTTTATGTGTATATCGGAACATTTGTAAACCAATATGAACGTCGATCTGTTAACATCATTCCGATTTCTCATTCCGATTTCTTTATTAGTAATAGACTTAAGTATATATTTTTATATATTTATATATTTATATGGTATATATATTTATAAGCGCGCAAATATATTATGCACGAGATCTCGCGGTAGCTGTTATGCAGCCTGCAGGAACATAAAACTTGATTCTCTATCGTTAAAATTTATTATTCTTGTTAACATGGCTATCTACATAATAAATCTTGCAGAATTTCGAAGAGCCTTGACTTAACGTTAAGATATTACATATGATAATATAATATATATATATATATTTCATCTCATTTTATTTACAAAAGAAATGTCTCTGTATATTCTTTTCTAATAGAATATATTTTCTTTTTTTTTTTTTCTCAAAATTGGGGATTGTCGATAGTTTTCTTATATTCTTTATTCCTTCCATTCGAGAACGTCAGATATAATATATATAAATTGGTCTCGAACGGAACGCGAAAATAGAAAACGTTTTTTATGTATTTTTTCTCTCTCTTTTTTTTCTTTTTTTTTTCTTTTTTTTTTTTTTTTTTTTTTTTTTTTTTTTTTTTAATATTACACAGGTACCCGCAAGAATAGTTTCTTTCACTTCGATAGAATAAGATATAGAAAGGTTAGACGATCGCCGCATACATGATCGATAAATAAATAAAGTGTCGAGTTTGTCGCTGGTTCACGGTATAAAGAACGATCGAAAAATATTATGCTACGGAATAACTCGTTTTACGAATATATTTCTAATAGTTGAAAAGATTATTCGTAAATCTCGAAAAATAATCCGTGCTGCATTAGACCTTCGCAAATGCATCACGTATACATATTTATATAGATATTGATTATCTTCAGTTGATTAGATTAGATAATCTTTAAGATTATCTAAAGAAATCCATGCACCAGGCTAATCAAAACAATTGCAATAATAGAATAATATAGTCATCGAGTTAAAAATACTGATCGATATACTTTGAGTACCATGATTCTGTCACGCATTCAATACTTTTCAGTAACAATTTTCTAACTCGAATTACAATATCTCTGTCTTCAATGATATAAAATATCGATTATTCTAATTAACCTGGTGATAGAATCAGCGAGCGAATTCGCGCAACAACAAAATTACCTTAATAGAAAAAGTAGGTTAGAGTGGCACATTCATCGATACTGAATAAAGTGATAGAATGTTCGTTGAACATTATAACAAATATCGTCTGTCGTAAGATGTTCGAGAATATCGTATAAGTTTTGCATTTGATGCATCGAAAGCATATTTTCTGTTTATCGTTTCTGCGTATAAGCAACGTGTGTATGTATACAAATGGAGAATAATAACAAAATAAGCAAATATTGTATTATAAAAGAGCGATAGTACGAAGAATGATACTTAATCAATTTTTATAGAACGCGTAAAAAATTGAGCTGAGGCCAAATTCGATAATACGCACGCACACTTATGGTCTTCCCTTTGAAAGAACGTCCGACATTTTCTCGAATTCGATTAAACATTGCATCAATCGATAATCGACAGCACAATGTCCGTAATTGACGAAAGGGATCCATTTAAAGATAGAAATCTATATCATCGACGTGGATTGGCGAATGCGTGTCGCGACCTCTTATCGGGAAGAAAAAATAGTACAATGAGAAAGTTCACTCGGTTATACGGGTGCACATTTATCGACGTTTCTCGTCGGAAGAATAATTCGTAAATTACAGTGTTGTGGAAGATATCTCGTATTTTATCGTACAATCGAACCTTGATAACTCGAATCTCTGCGACTCAAAAAACATTCATAAGACTATAATTTCATTCTCTTCTTTGTGAAAACTTTTTTGTAAGTAGAAATATAAATTTCATACGAGTTGAATTGTTTTATCTTTGTAACTCGAATTCGGAGAAGTGCAGCCCCTGCAAGTAAAAATTTATTTCTGAAAGCGAAACTTTTATTATTATTACTTTCTACAACTCGTGATTACGTGTCACAACTTTTCAATAATCGACCATTCCATACTACTTTTGTTTTTTGTCCAATCTTTGCTCGTCTTTTTTTTAACTCGAAAATACTTGGATAAAATAAAATCTTTACAATTGAAAGATTTTACCTCCATGTTGAAATTCGAATTACCGAGATACAACCGTATAAAGATTGTACGCCATACAATTTGGCAACGCGAGTTCGTGGAAATATAATTTAAAATTTATGCGAAAGGGAAGACACGAAGAAAAGAGAGAGATAGAGAGAGAAAGAGAGAGCAATCTCGGCAAGATTCTTCTCAAATTTACGTACGAGTAGCAAATATTCTCGATTATCTTGTCCCATTTCCTTCTCCATTCTGCGAATCTTCTTATCGTCTCATAATCGCGATGATAATTATCAACTAGATAACTTTGTGTTTCATTACCATAAAATCATTTATATATATATCACAAGTGTTAAAATTGTCGACACGCAACAGCGTTAAGATTTCTAATTTAATTTTCGAGACACTACGGTAAATATCACATGGAGCGATGAGAATTTCAATGTAAATATAGAACGGCGATTGATTGGTTGTTCGCGCACGAATGACAATGAAGAACGTAATCGACCAATTGGATCGCCGTTTTCAAAAAATTTTTTAAAATATACTTTCAGAGGGCGTTAAAAGATTCAGGCGTAAGATTGATCCAGCGATATAGCGATTTTGTTCCCTTTTTCCACCCAATTTCTCAACCGTCCCCTCAGTTCTTCCAAGCTTTTCGATTTCGCCTTGTTTATCCTCTTGTACTTTACGTCTTTTGGCTTTGTGACTGATCTGTGATTGCTCATTACCCTGTTGTACGTGACCTGAAAGAAATACGAGATTCAGGGGTTGAAAACGATCCTCTGCTGTTTTGTCTGCTGTTTCACGTGTGAACCATTTGAAACACAAACTGATCAACTCCAATTCCTGAGAGAATTCTTTCTTTATTAGCAGAATTGGTCAGTTTCGTCACGTATGAAGTCGATCATTAATCAAAAACGAGCAGTTAATAGAAATAATGGAATGATTGGAGGTATTTGATAAATATCTATTTCATGTGTTAGATATATCTTCCAATAAATTAAATAAACAATTTGCATTGTTGCAGGATAGAACGGAAACAAAAGAAATCAAAAGTTGTATCTTGTAGATTTATTAGATAAGCAGTTTCTATAAAATTACTTTTACCGAAGTGCTGCAAGTTAATAATATCTTTTCTAATTAAATAATTCTATATAAAAACAATACTCGCAATATAAACCTATATAATTCAATCTAACTTTCTTTCTATCCATTTTCAAATCTTCTTCCATCCAAAATCACACACATATATATATATAAATATATATATATATAGAGATTGATCTCACACATACATCTACAATATATAAACACGCGTATACAGAGGAAAACACATCCGTAAAATAAAAAATTCTCGCGTAAAAATAATATATATCCAATCATTAATCACCAAGATTCACGTTGCGCCTCAACTCGAGCGAGGTTCTCGAGAAACGAAGTTGAGAACTGTGACGCTTATTATCGTGTGTACGCAAATAAACGAACACGAACAAGGAGGGAAGAAGGTTTAAAGAAGGACGGTTTAAGTAGAAAAGATCTGGTAGGTCTGTTCATACCGGGTAAAAAGAGCCTCCTTACCTGCGCCTGCTGACTTTCGTCCCTCGGCCTTTCGCTCGGCGGAGAATCCGCCTCTTGAGCAAGTCTCTCAAAACTGCCATACAAATCCTGAAGTCTGCCCTTCCCGTTTCCCAAATTTTTTGCCCGTCTCTCCTCGCACTCGGAATTCTCGGTCGACTCGGACGGCTCCTGATTGTTCTCGCTGTCGCCGTCCTCCTCGACCGAGTAAACGGTCTCCAAAATTTCCGGTCTCCTGAGGAACCCGTTGCATCGTCGCATCGACGAGTATTTGCTCGATGGCTCGACGGCGTCCGACACCGATCGAATCACCGTAACGTCGGTGATGTTTGAGCGGAACCTGCGGAGTGTTACTTCCCATAATTATTTAACCCAACTTCTCAATCTTGGGGGGGGGGGAGAAACCAGGTGGTTTTCAAGTATTTTGAGGATGGAGCAAACCTTGAATCTCGCCGAAAGTTTTTTAACTTCTTCCAAAACTTTTCAATCTTCACTCACACACATTGATTATCAGATATTTTGCTGGAAATCTTGAAAATTCGAGAATATTTTTCGAATCTTCCAAGCGATTTCTTACTTAATCAACGATAATCGACGGTAATTTAATTGGTTCCATCCAATTCTCGTCACAATAATTTACGCGCTACCTCGAAATCCAAATTTTTAAAATGCCCGCATTTTCTACAGAAGAGAAAATCAACCAAATACATACAGTTATTAATTCTGACAGCCCCAAGATATCAGAAATCGTCGATTTGTTCCAACCTCCTTTCGCGTCTAACTTTTTTTTCGTGATCTATTATTAATTAATCGGTCTGTTAATAAAAAAATTGGCAATTATATGGTACGCACCTTGGCGGTGCTAGGTCGTCCGCCGCCTCCTCGAGAACGACGGCGCTGTCACTATCTCCAAGGCTATCCAATCTATCGAGGGCGTCGCAAGGTGGCGAATCCCTTGTACCGGTGCTTCTTTCCGCCAATCTGCTCTGCAGTTGACGAATCACCCTCTGTTGTCTGAGAATAATGGACTCCCTTTGCGCCAGACTAGCCTCGATCTCCTTCTGCTTCCGACAAAGCCTCGACTCGAAGAGCAGTAACTGCGAGGACAATGTCCGTAGCTGTTCTGCCTTCTCCCTTGTCAATCGAGCCACCAGATCCTCCTGAAATAATTATATGATCCGTTAGAACGAATTATACAACACGCAAGAAACTCGACGTATTGATTAACTTTTGATTAACTTCTTTTTGTAACAGTTAGCAATGATAAGCAATGGAAGCTTGAAAAATTTCAGTTCCAGCACCAGATATATTTGGGCAATTAAGGGGATCTATATTTAAGTACAATTATTTTTATGAAACTTCTTAGAAGTAATTTATTTATTAATTACGATCGATAGAAATTAGAAAGGGAATTGTTATTGTTATTATTATTATTACATTTTTTAAATTATTCGAACAACAAGCGATTTAATTTGTACGAAATAATTTTCATAATAATTCGTCGTATTTCATAAACGAGAACGAATGTATTTATATGAAAATTGTATTATTAATTGTATAATCAACTTGAAACGGTTCTCGCGTATTATGCTATATCCCGTATACATATCAATCTGCGCAGTTTCGAGGTCGAGTTAAATGCAGCATTTCTGCGTGGCTTTATCGACGTTGAATTAATCAGCGATTTGCATTAGTTGAGATAGAGAGAGAGAGAAAGAGAGAGAGAGGGAGAGAGTAGCTCCGCTAGTAATTGGGTAACAATTAATCATGTTAACTGATTATCGATAATTAACGAATAGAAAATAGTTGATTAACGACACTGTTTTTCCGACTTTTACGATAATACGTTAAAAAAGAATGGAAAGAATTCACGATGTAAAAAGATTCTCAAGAAGATGGTTGAAAGATGATAATGGTAAAATTTATTTTCACCAAGATCGTCGTCGTGGTAATTAATTCGGAGATCTTATCTATGGAAAGGAAATGGTACAGCTACATATAATTATACAGGGCGTCCACGAAATTATTATACGAGCGATTCGATGATAATTCTAGCGTGCGAAAATAAGTCGAAAAAAGAAACGATATTTCTTAATTCAAGGCCTGGTTCCCAAGTGAGTCAAATTTAAAAAAAATTTCACATTTTTTTGGGGACGAAATTGGTTGATTGATCGATCAGACGCGAATGGATTATCGACGGAAGGTAATTCCACATGTTGAGATAAAAAAGAGAATACGTACAAGAATAAATCTCATTTTAAAAATTAATTTCCAGGAGAAAATTGAATTTAAAAATTTCAAGCGAATATATAATCCCTTAATTATGTTAATATTCAATTTTAATTTTCTCCTAAAATTTCAATCCTATATTTCCATTTGCTTATTCCCATATGTGTAAAAATAACAATACTTATCGACCGAGTTTACATTTAAAGTAAAATCTTGAATTCCTAATTTTCAAATATGATTTACTTCACTTTTTGCTTCGATTTATCTTTCCACGTAATGTTGTTGTATCACCGTTCCTATTTATCACGATTTCGAGCACACCTCATATACATCTTACGGCCTAACCGTGATCGATTTGATACTGTAATTTGAAATTAATTAGGTAACCTCAAGGGTTTGTCCAAACCGCACGGTCTATATTCTCCGAATGTATCTCGCTTTACTGCGCCTCCTTCTCTTTCGCTTCGATTAAACGCGCATACATCGAGTACAATATACGTTTAATTTAATATCGTATTGAACGTATTCCATAGTTGGAATTTGTTTGACGTACAATCGTATATATCGATCGACGTGATAATTAGATTGGAAATTTTTTTTTTATACCGATGGAACAAGTTTGAATATTCAACTGTGTAACTGTGTAGAATTATGTCGTGTTATTTAAAATATAATATACGCGTTGCGTACAATATATTTGTACGAAAGTGTCGGTAATTTTATCGTGTCGTAACATTGACAGTTATGAATCGATTTCAATTGAAACATCAATAATTACGACGTAATATTTTACAATTAACTGCATAATTAATTATTTCGTGAATTGATTAGATTTAAAAATAAATCGATACGCGATATCCCTAATAACGTAATAAAAAGTGAAACGAATCAATCTTCAACTTCCGCGTACATTCTAATCGATCAGAATTTGAATTTATTTTTCTTATATTACAATTTTAGCCATAAAAACCTGTCAAACCTGTTACCCCAAGTTTGCGTTATAAATTTACTTATAAAATTTGTATATAATACAATACATTACAAAAGGAAATAATTTTTTCACGGCTTTCTGATAAATTGCCACCGGCTGAAGAAGATCGTTCTACGCTCTTGAAAAATGTTCACACGATGGAATATATTATATATCCCAGTATCGTATTGGGACGATATTCCCCTTTCTTCATGGACCAACCGTTCAGAATTTCTTCTGTTCCCAATCCTTCGTAACCAAAAATTTTACACCATTTATAAATTTGCCTGTAACTTTATTCCCGGCCAAGTGTTTATTGACACGAGGGAAAGAAAATCGTGCGAGACAAATTTATTCATCATCGCGTGACAGGAAAATAACATATCTGCATCTGAAAAGTGATAATAATCTAAAATTTTTACGTAACCGCGTAATGCATGTAAAATGTAACTTTAACATTAATAAGGAAAACTTCTTTTCTTTTAATCGACGACCAGGATTTATCCAGTTTTAACGACGGGCTGTTTTGAGCGACACGAAAAAAAATCTTTTGATAATGATCTTGACGTTTTAAAGGAGGGGTTTTTCGTTATAATTTATTTTTCATCGCGAAACTCCGCAAGAAGAAATTTCAGAAAGGAACTTCTTCTCCTCGAGTGCCAACTTTTACATTTTGTCTTTGTCGAGATCGAGAGCACCATCTTGAATTATAAACGTCCAATACCCTTGTCAATTTTCGAGCAACTTGAGAACAGTCTGACGTTGTCATCGTGTTCGGAATCCCATTATCGTTCGAAACTGTCTTTAGATCATCGATCGTTTTCAACCGTGCTTTCAAACGTTTTCCTCCATCTTCGTTTTCGATCATGCCATTTCGCCTGATAAACGATAATTATTAAGCGAAAGTGTCGATGCAAAATACTTCTCTCGAAACTGTATCGAATCGATATTAATGATTTCTTCTCATTTTTGATTTTGATGAAACGGTAGATTTTTAGATTTGGAACAAGGCTTTACTAGATTATTTTAAAAAATTAATTATATCCTTGACACGAAACTTAAGCCTTTTATAAATCATTTCAAAAATTAGGAATACGTAATTTATTATTAATAATGTTTATGAAACAAAGATTTTCTTACAAAAAAAAAAAAAAAAAGAATACGTGTAGAAGCAATAAATATAATCAATTTCACCACGCATGATTATAAATTTCAACAATCGTTAATATTTGTTTTGTAGTTCGGCATGGCACACATTTCATAAATCGTTATTTATTCTATCACATATTTTTCCATCATCCCCCGTTTTTCATTTATCCGATAGAACGTCCCCCTAAAATGAATTTATCATAACCAGTGGTGCAGGAACCATTTGAAACTGTTTATCTTATCGAGGTTGAAAACAGCGGAACATATGGAGAAGAAAAAAAAAAAAAAATAAATATATATATATATATATATCATACACCTTATTTTTCATCAACGAAGCGTAAAAACAAATTTTCTCTTCGTTTTATTTCCATAACGTCTCGAATTCTTTTTGATTGAAAAAAAAAAAAAAAAGAAAGAAATTACTCGTGAATAAATAAACGAATAAAATAAACAACACGAAATTCGATACACGCGATCAATTAAAACGATACGAGAAACGCGATTCGTTACAATACAAACACGATTTTTACTAATCGCCCCAACTTCTCCACGAATAAATTATCCGTCCGAATACACGAGATTAAAATCCCCCTCCTCCTCCCCCCCCGTTCCTCCTCGAAAATGTGTCGTAAATTCTCTCGAAAGGAGCAATTTTAACGGGGAAACACGGTTAAAAAAAAATATAAAAGATACGGCATGCACGTGCGAGACATTTCGTAGCCGGCTGCCTCTAAAAATCCTCCACGTCGATTGTGTTTAAAGGATGACACGGGAACGAAATAAAGCTTTGAAACGTAGTCAGATGCAATCTGCGGGATTTGTTCCCTTCGAGGAAGCATCGCTTTCTTGGGATGCAAAATGTATCCGGCGCACTTTGCATAGATCCAGCCAGTTTCCTTGTCTTCCCCTCCCTCCTCCCGCTCCCCCTTCTCCTCCTCCTCCTCCTCCTTTTTTCCTTCCTTCCTTTACAGAGGGAGAAGGACAAGTCCATTACACCACGCGCATTGTCTCGCGTAAATGGCAATTCTATGGAAAAATGGTTAAGCGGGCGAGCATTGTCCATTCTTTCATGCCGCTACCACCTTACGAGCTACTCCCTGGCACGCTTCTTGGCCACCAAGTGTGAAAAGGAACGCCCGTTCCTTTCAGTTCCAATCATACCAACGAACGATTCCCAACGGGAGTTTCTCGGATATGGCATGCACGATAATCACTTGAACTCACTCGTGGACAAAGGAACGCTTTCCGCTTTCCTTCGTTTGCCTATCCACGAGAAGAAGTCTATCTACTTGTTTCGCTTCGATTTTTCTGTAGTTTGATATATACGAGTTCGAGAGAAAGGATACGATGGTTCTCTTTCTTTTCTACCATTCAACATGTTAAGCAAGAGAAATCTTGTTGTTCAATTGTTTTAACGACTATATAATCTAGCAATATTCCGTAATGAAATAAATATATTTAACACGTAATTTACCTTACAACTCGAACCTTGAATCCTATTAAAATTGGGAAAACTTTAAACCGTTATAACTCCGAGGATAGTGACTTCCGGGCAACGAACGAACGATCACTAGAAGCGCGAAACTTTACCCTTTAAAATGCCTTTTCACTTATTCCGATACGACTTCCAGTTTCCGAGATATCATCGTGCGAAGAAAAAGTAATTTTTATTCGTTTACCTTAAACCGGATTAAACTTTATTAAAATTTGAAAAACTTTGAACCGCTGTAACTCCGATGATATCGACTTCCGGACAACGTGCGGACGCTCGTTAGAAGCGCTCAACCTTCCCCTTAAAACGGTTTTTGTTTCGTCTCGATACGACTTCCGGTTCTCGTGATATCGTCGTGTAAAGAAGAGCGTAATTTTTAATCGTTTACCATCTCGATCCTTGTCGCATATTCGGATCTCTCGCTCGCGCCTCGCCTCGCTGACCTATCCCAAACTGCCGGACAAGCGATAAACACGATTCCTAGAAACAGTATGCAACTCCAGGAAAAGGAAGGAAAAATATTTAGGTCGATAGATGGCGGGCCTATTCGCAATATCTGCAATGCATTAACTATGGATACTTTGAATCGTTATATCTCGGCAACGGATCGAGATATCGGGATAAAACAAAAAGCAATTTAAACGGCATAGCCTCCTCTGTGGTTTTCCGACTTCCGATTTTGATGACGAAATATTTAATCTCTTCTCGCTCTTTTTATACCAAAAAAAAAAAAAAATACGAAGCTTTAACGAAACAAAATTTACGAATTTACCCGCGCAAAAATAAAACAAACGAAATCGTAAAAATCATTTCGCTCGCTCAATTCCATCCATTAATCGGACGGTGGATGATTGAAAAATTCACAGAAGCGTGAAGAGACACGAGCCAAAGCAAACGCGATGTAAAGGGAAGGAATAACGTTGTGCAGGTGGTACGAGGAGGAGTGCTATGCTTAGTCTGGTTTCGTTCGAAACCTCGTCGAGTTCGCGTATACTTATCCACCGCACGCGAGGGGGTCGTTGCGTCTAATAACGGATTATTGCATCGTAATTAAACGCTTCTTCTTACGTTTATTAGGCTGTCAAGACCAGCGAACGTGACAGTCGCGTGCCACATGTCCGTTGTTTTACAAATTATCGACAACTCGTACCGCTATTAAATGGGTATATCCAGCTTTACGAGTTTCACCCTAGTAATTTCCTGTTTGAATTTAATTACAGTAAACTCTCTCTTGACGGGCACCCGTGGGACCGGATCCCCGGCCTGATAAACGAATGGCTGAGTAACTGTTTCCATGCCTAGCGCATTGCAAATATAATTAAATATGCATATTACTGCATACGTATTTATCGATCACGTGCAATATTAAAAAGTAACATTAAATTAATTTCGACGAATAGGCGAGTGGAACGATAATTTTTAACTTTTGTGTCTTTTTTTTTTTAACGACATACGACAATCAAAAATTAATTATTGAAATATGATGGTTTTTTAAAAACGATGGAGCAACGATTACCATTCACGAATACGAATTTATTTCCCATTTTCGTTCGTTCATATTTATTCATATTGTGCAATTATGGAATTATCGAGGTATTGATGTTTCAACATCCGTTTAATTATTCAACATCTTATAAATAATTCTCGACAATACATGTTAAACATATTATCAACGTATTACGATACGATAGCTGTAAATTTGTCATCGCGATTAATAAAAGTAAAGGTTCTTCAAATATCATCAAACCCGTAGCGACGAAGATCCAGCTTTTCTTTCCAAACAAACGTTTCAAACAATTACGATCCATCTCAAACTCCATCCCAATATATTCTCGTACAATATATTTCCACCCCGGATTTTCCCCTGTTTAAACGTCTCTTATATATATATATACACAAACACACCCAAACATATCCAAATATCAAATATGAATCAAGCATTGCTCAAGCGTGCGTACAAGCAGCGTCCTAAATACACCTATGAGATCACAATTATTAGGTGGATTTTTCTCGAACAGAATTAATCTGGCCAAAGAAAGCAGAGGATCAACAACAAAGGTGGTCGAGATTCGGGGTCTAGGATTTGTTTGCCATCTCCGTGTATACATCTTTGTTTCAATCCGCCTGTTGATCCCGATCGAATGGGATTCGGTCAGTCTAATTACACCGCGTATTGTCTCCATGGTAATTAATTGGCCGCGAGAATTTATTATTCACCGCGGCCCGTTTAATCACCGAACCAGCAATTTCTAAAGCGACGAATGGGAAGCAATTAGCCCGTTGATGCGTTCATAATTGAACCTCGAGTAAACTGCGATGCGAAGAAAGTATCGACAAGCACTTGGGGGGGGGGAAAGGGAGGGAGGGAGGGAAATAAAGCAGATACAGGAGAGAGGGATAAATGGGACGGTATGAGGTAGGAAGGAGTTTCTTTCGTTTCGAAGCTCGATCGAAAATTTTCACGTTCTCTTTTTTTTTTCCCCCCCTCCCCCATTTCATCGTGCTCGATCATTTTACGCGTATACTCTTTATCATTACTTCTTTCTTTCTTATTATCACCCCCTTTGATGCCAATCAATTGATTCACTCGTATTTCGAGATAAATATCTCTTGTTGTTCAATTATTTAATTGTTATCATTATTTCTCTCTTTCTTATTATCTCCTTTGCAACTCGTTGATGCGTTGATGCCAATTAATTAATTAATTCGTATTCCCTATGCTCGAATGTTTTTATCTTTAATTACGAAATTAATACACTCGTGTTTGATACAAATATCTTTTTCAATTCAGTTATTCATTATTATTATCTTTATTATAATTATTCCTAAAATTATATATATTTTACATATATATATATATTATTACTACTCCTTTGCTACTACATTCATACATTTTCAGATAAATTCAATCTCTCGTTCAATCGTTCAATTACATCTTATACAAAATATCCCTAAAATTATATATAGATATATATTAGATAAAAGTGAGAAAATCCATTAAAACTATCGTTACCTTAACGAAAACTTGACTTGTCTCGAACATCCTTCAATTTAATCAAATTCCATTACCCTTTTTTTTTTTTATTTTCTGCCAAAAAGTCCACGATCCACGCCTCGATTCTCGCTCACTCGTAACCCATCACTTCCAGAGAATCGGAAAGATTGTTCGCGATTATTTTGCCGCTCTGCTGAATTTCAAAGTAGAATATTTTTTTCTTTCCCTCGAATCCGCCACGGACACGGTAGATCGTCCGTGGTCACGCGAGCTTCGGGCCGAAATAGACGAACGTCACGAGAACGACGTCCTATCCCGGGCATAGATTCATTTTCCAAGTTTTATAACGGGCTTAATCAACGAGGCATCGTAAACGTAAATACCAATCTCCTCTTTTCATATCGCGCAACTCCATTTCAACGAGCGAACGAAATTTTAACCGAGCCTGGATTGTTAGGTTAGACACGAAATAGGTATTGCAATTGACAATGTCTCTAAATACCGTTTATTTTCGTTGTAAGAACGAGCCAGTTGTAAGAATTGGAAAGGAAACAAGGAATACATTTGTACGAGTATACAGCTCCATCTGTATTCCATCCTTTTGCGCTCGACGAGGTTCGCTTTGATCACCGTTATTTCGTGTTCTTTTTTTTTTTTTAATTTCCCTTCTTACCTGCAATTTCAACGTCCTTCGCCAGGCGAGCATCTGATGCGCCTGTGCCCTCTGCCTCGCTCGGAGTGCCGCTATCACGGATTTCGCCTCCTCTAACGACGTCACCTCCACCTCGTTCCCATCCTTTGACAAATCGTTGCCCCTCGGTGTCTCGGTGATTGCCGCCAGGGGACAGCTATCCATCGACGTCTCGTCAAAACTGCAATCAGAGAACGGATCGATATCTTTATTATCGATTCCCAAAGGCGATAAGGGAATCTTTTAAAAAATTACCTTTAGAGAATTAACCATTTTTCTTCCTTTTCTTCTTTCTTTCTTTTTTTTTTTTTTAATTCATTAAAATTCCTATCAACGCAGCTCGAACGTTTCCTCCGTTCTGTTAATTCGATAAATAAACGAAACGTTATTTAACGAACGGGGGACTCGTTTCCTGATCGCGTGATCCATTTACCGGGATGTTTCGTACAGAAACGCAGCCAATGAATCGTTGCCTGAACAGTGCCAAGAGTACACTTACTTGACAAAAATAACCATCTTACTTTTTCCAAACGAAATACATTTTAACACTTTTATCGCGAGACGATGCACAAAGTATGCAATATCCGTGGAATAATCAGCGCCGCCGCAAACGAAACTCGACGATTTCGATACGCCCAATTATCGTGGATAATCGATCGCCAATCCTCGAATCGGGCGGCGAATATTTAAACGCGATTCGCTGTATACCTCGCGACACAGAGAGAGAAAGATAGAGAGAGAGAGAGAGAGTTTCTCGTGGATCGGATTCCTTTGAAAACCGACTCGAAAACAAACGAGGAACTGTCGTTCGAAAGCGAATTCACCGGCTCGTCCACCAGCAGTGAAATTTAATAAGAACCGCAATGATTCATCGCGGCTCTGTACCGCTTTCGTCCCGGTAAACCGAGCGTATTGAATGTCTAGGAACGATTCGGAGGGGCAAAAGTTGCGGGGATCTCCCTCGCCTGTTTCGCCGCGCCGTCTACCTTCGCCTCGTAAATTCGCATCCATCATGATTTACGGGCAAATCGTTGCTCGCCGGCAATATTAATTCTCGTCCAACGAATATGGAAGGAGATGGGTGTATCATTTGTCCTAAAACGCGTGTAAAAAACGTGGATGGATAAGCGTGTCGAAGCGAAAGTGAAATGGAGCCACTTGAGAATGATTTTTATTTACTTATTACCGATTTGTGCATGTGTTTAGGTAGGTATTTATTTTTGAAAATTTGTTGGGGATATTGAAGACGTTATCTTTCGTATTTTAATTATTGGTGATTATTGGATGGAGGAAAATTGTTGCAATTGAACGAAAGTTTGATTCAAATTATAATACTATTTTATTGGAGAAATGAATCTGACTTTTAACGAGAGTTTGTGAATCACGTGTGCGTGGAGCAATTATTTCCTCTCCTCTTTTTCCAGGTTTATTAAAAAACGAAACTTATATTGCTTTGCGATAGATGTCGTTACATTAGATATCTTTCGTCCCTTGTTCCATTGAAAATTTCTCTAAATTAATTCGTAAAAACATTTTGAAACGAAACGAGTTCGAGATTTTCGCGAAAACAAATCATCGCCTGAATTTATTAATTTCTCTATTCTCGCGCACAATCGTGATTCAAGGAATTCAACGAGAGAAGATATTTCTGCAACGCTTCGTATTTTCTGATTTAAATTTAAAACGTATCGAATATGAGAATTCCGTTCAAACAACGCACCCTCTCTCTCTCCCACTCTTCATTTTCGGTTTATACGTTCGAGATTTATACCCAAAGTGTAGAATGATTTTTTTTTTGTTTTTCAAATATATACGATCGATAAATTCGTGAAATAAATTAGGACAAGGTATTTGTACAATTTTTAGTTAGTTCGATTTGCATAAACACAGCCTCGCATGAATTTTTTATGGTAAATATTGCTTTTCCTTAGCACGCGAGATCTCCGATCTCTAATTAAATTGAAATAAATTATGCATGAGTCGCTGGATTCTGAGTCACTCGACACGATTGATGTCTCGTTTTTCGTCGGCCACGATCCATCTTCACGACCACCATATTTTGCGCGATAAACATTAGCTTTCAGAAATAACAAAAAACATATATTTATTTCGTATCGTTTAATCAACTTCTATAAATCTTCTTACACGTTTTCTTATAAATTGAATTCGCGTATGGATCCGTTTCTTCTCCATAAATCGTTTCGAATCGTTAAAATTTCAAATGGAAATGAAACAATTTCAAATTTCAAATTTTTAAATTTCTCGATCGAGAAGAAAATGTATATATACGCTCTGTGATTAACGACCGCTTAATCGTGCGTTCACACGATCTATTAGCTTGGTAGGAAGTAATTAAGCTACTTAGATAGTCACAAACGAATCTGCAGAACGCTGGTCCAGCAGAGTGTCCAGCAACGTCCTAATGAAGTTTCCAATTCTCGTTAATCGTTTGATGCGTCGTTAGTTAATCTCTTGATTTCCACGCTAATTTATTTAACACCCAAGAACACGTTTCACCAATCGAATTAGATTTCAAGCGGGGAGGAAAATTATTATTCTATTCGTTTTGGAAACATCGATGACGAAACGAGTTATGATTAATCGTTCGACTCACTCTCGAAAATCTAAAATTGAAGGAAGAATTTCAACGCTGTGAAAAAAAAAGAAAAAAAAATAACGATGCTTCGTTGCCCACGGAAAAAAAAATAAAGAGAGATCCACAAAATTAAACGGAAAAAATTTGAACCCGAGTTCCCCTCCCTATCGAGAAAAAAACAATTTCCCACACGATTCTAATTTTATTCACCCACCTATCCCGCACCTTTCAACTCCGTAAATTCCAATTTTCAATCACCAAAAACCTTCACCGCACGTCCAGTCCACGGTTTTAAACCTCAAACGAGTCGATTCCTTTTTTTTTTTTTCTTCTTCTTCTTCTTCTTTTTCCTCCCCCCCACAAACGAGAGCACAACTGCGAAAGCCAATGGCCGGGCTGCTCACCATTCGGCCATTAACCACGAACAACCGCGCGACCAACAGCCGGGGACAAACAAAACCGTTTCTCAGCAAACCGCACGACTATCCATCGTGACTGTCCTCGCATGTTTCGCATGAATTTCCCTCCCCGGTTTACGAGCCCGCCAGACTTTCGTTTACGAGCCCTCCCCCTCCCCAGAAATCGGCCTCTCAATTATCGCCGACAATAAGCGCGCCCCGTTTCCTTGCCATCCGTGTTTTAAGTTTTGCACGCAGCACGTTCCCACCTGCGGGATTATTATTATCGCGACCAGCCAATTGGCGAATCGCGGAACGCCAGATGGCGCGCGCCAAGTCAGTGTCAGTTTGCGATCTTGATAACGGCCAGCTGATGCGACACCTGGTTTCTTTCTTCCCTTCCTTCTTTCTTTTCCTCTTGCTATTTTATTTTCGACTGCTTGACACAGTTTCGCAAGTTTCGCTCTGCGAGAAGCGAGAAATTTTCTCTGAGCGCGATACAATAATGAGACGTTTGTATCTTAACATGGAAAGAGATTTTAGCTAATCGCTAATTCTCTGTAAAGTGAGTAATACAGAAAGTTGTGAATATTGAAAAATGGGTTGTGTCTACATTATAGAAAAAGTGAATAAGTCACAAGAAAGTCTAAAAAAACGGTCATTTGACCGCGCCGTGGTAGGTTTAGTGTTAGAGGATCGACGAGAGTGATATATCGGCTTCTCTCTTTTTCGAATATTGGCCAATATTCGAAACGACGGTTCAAAACACCGATTTTTAGGAATAGATAAAGAGGAAGCTTTCGATCGATCCTCCCCTTGATAAACGATAAAAAAGAAAGAAAAAAAAAAAAGGAAAGAGTTAAAACAAAGAGGGACGATGAACGATTCAAAGGAATGCCAATCGATGGAAGCGTTTTGGAAACATGGAAGAATGGACGGTGAAAGACTCGATATAGGGCGAATAAATTCAATACGCGGTTCTTCGATTTTCAAAGGGTTCAACGCGACCCGTCGATAAAGGTTATCTGTCGATAAAGGCGATCGACGATGCTCCCCCCCTCCCCTCTCGTGGCCGAGTGGAAAATGCATCGAGACAAGCGATGATGATGGCCCGAATCGATATTCGGCAACTATATTTACACCCGTTCGTGTATAAAGCGATATAATTTTACATCGACATATTTTTGTATTTTCTATATTTAAATCTTCCACGAACCCGCAAAAATATCTTGAACACGAACGACAACAAAGCGCACCTGCGCTATCGCTCACGACTTCCGGCCGCCTTGAAGGGGAATATATAAACCGGAAGTTCCTATCAATCGTCAACAAGAAAGCCACGAATTTTCGATGATAATCCGCGAGATTAAACGAAGAAGAAGAGAAAGAATTTAATTTAATTAATTTAATTAATTTCAGTCGATAAAAGGTAAGAATTAAACGAATCCGTTTTGACTTGGACAGATTTGGAGGAAATTATTACTATCATCATCATTCTGCTCGTTCAAAAATCGTGATGCAGCTTGCGTGCAGCTTGAGAAGGGCGAAGAAAAAGGAGTAGGGAACGCAATCTCTCTCCGGGAGACGAATGACTGCGTCACCGTGGCTTAAATAATATCTCTGCTGCCGCTTCGATAAATTATATCACCGAGATTATTCACCAACTACCCACGAGAGCGATAGGCCAAGGTTGCAAAAAAAAAAAGAAGAGAGAGAGAGAAAAAAAAGAAGAAGTTTAACCATTGAAAAGATTGGTTACAATAGATATAATAATAATAATAATAATAATGATGATGATGATGATGATGATGATAATAGATATTCGTAGTATAACGTGTAATAATATGGTGGTGAGTAATAGGTATCTATATATAAATGTAACAATAGTAGGTAGACAGTGGTTAAGAATGAACGTGGTGAAACTTGGAAATTAAAAAAATGCAAGTGGAGAAAATAATGGGTGTTTTATTTGCGTCGCATTGTCAGGACAAGGCAAGGATGTTATTCATTCACGATGCGAAAAAATATAATGGAACGCCCATTCCCTGCCTTTATCTCTAAATGTCACCATTATTATTACTTTTTGCAATAATCAAGCTTTTCTTCTTCTTCCTTCTTTTTTTTTTTTTTTCAGCTATTCCGTGTACGACAATAATGGATATCGGATATTATCTATTGAACGAACTA